TCTTGGACCAATCATTACTTACTTGGACTCTTTCAGAGATAAAGATAAAACTCTAAGTGTTTTATCCTTATCTTGGCTAAGTCTTCTCTTTACTAGACTCTGGTCCCTTATCGTTTATCTCGGATTCCGATATTCTCGGAGATAACCTCAGGCCTTGCCAAGATTACCTCGGCGTCTCCTCCAGGACACGTGGCACCTCGGCGTCACCTTATTACGTGTTGGTACTCAAAAATATATCCCACACATAGAATGTTTTTCGGACTTCAGAATTAAACATCAAGTTTTTCTTTTTCATACTTATAAAGTGATGATTAGCCATAATGCTTTTATTTATTTCTTAGGCAGAGTGTCATTCTTATAAAGAGTAACACCCTCTCATTTATTATAGCTTTTGGGCATTTTGTTTGTAAATAATATATTATATATTCACTGTAATAAATGAAGAGTGGGTTCATAGTTTCTATCAATGAATATATACATATAATTGGTATTGCTTGGGAAAAGTAACGAAAATGGATAATGAAAGGATTTGATAACGAAATGAATGAATGAGATTTCTTTCAAAAAAAAACTACGCTTAGGTAATTAGTTTTTTGTCAAATTAATCTTTGAATTTCAAGGTGTGACATTTTCGTTCTTTGGTTAAACAAAAAGTAAGTAAATATTTTTACATTATTTTTTTGAAAATACCTTATCTTTTAAAAAATTTGTAAGTCAATTTTACAAAATTGTTTCTCACTCATTACTTTTTAAATATCTTTTAAACACATTTAACATTTTTAAATAAATATCTTAGCTTATTGGAGAAACTATAAATGACATTTTATTAAATTAATTTTTTTAAGTAATAAAATATTTTTTATTTTAATGTCAATTAACTAAAAAATAATTACACAAAATATTTTATATCGAAACAAAGGACCGAAAGTTTACTTCACTCAAATTATAGATCAACTTGTAACTGCTTTTCTTTGTTGATACCTCCGACCACTACTATTTTGTAAAAGGGTCTTGCTACATCCCCTAAAATATCTCCCTAATCCCCCTAATTTCCATATCAAGTAAAAAAAAAAAAAAAAAAGGAAAAAGTTGCCAAATTGGAAATTAGGGGGATTAGGGAGGAAAACTTTAGGGCTCTAAATCATTTTCCTTTGTAAAATTTGGACAAAATTGTCAGTGTCACAAGCGTATGCCTTATTCGAAGAACGACAATACTACGTAGCTCAAATTTTGTGGCTCAAAAGTGCTCAAATGGCCAAAACGACGTTGTTTTGGCCATTTGAGCCACTTTGAGCCACAAAATTTGAGTTACGAGACATTTTCCTTCGACGAAACCGCGTGTCACTCACTACTAGTCAATAGAATGACAAAACGCTTACAAATACTTGAACAAGTTACTATCAAAAACCTCGGGCCCGTTTATTTTGAGATATCGCGGAAGGGATGAAATTATGATGGAAGTGTGTTTGTTTTAATGTTATTTTTATTCGTAAATTTGGAAAATGGATTGAGACGACGGAGGAGAATAGCTTGGCCTTTGGAAGGGAGATTGGGATGAAGGAGATAGAGGTGATGTTAAAAAAATAGTTCGCCGGATTATACATTTTTTATTTTCATATTTTTTACATGTTGGGTATTTTTTTTTTTTTTGGAACATTAATGTTTAATTTTTTTTTTTGGATTTTTTGTTAAGTAAAGTCGTTGTTTTATTTATTTTATTTTTTTTGAAAATTTTTTTATTTTTAAATTTTTACATGTTGGGAATTTTTATTTTTTCTTGAGCATTAATGTTTAATGTTTATTTTTTGTATTTTTTGTTTCATTATTTTATATAAAAATAATTTAACAATCCCTATACTAATAACTATTACCAAAAATAAACATAATTTTACTTAATCCTCTTACTATCAATCCTCTCACTATTAATCTTCCTCACTATGAATCCATTCTATTATATTTCTGAAAACAAACGGGGCCTAGACTTTGTTTCGTTTAGTTTAGTTTAGTTTAGTTTAGTTTTAAAAATATGATTTAAGTGTAGAGTTATAATTTAAGTATGAAATTATAAATTGAATTTTGAAAAAAGAAAATTTATTTAGTTATAAATTTTTAAAAAGTTTTTAGTTTTGACTTTTGAAAAGAGTTTTGACTTGTATTTTCAGTTTTTGACTTTTGAGTTATATTTGAAATTTTTGGATTTATTTTTTAAAATATTTAAAAATATTTAAGAATTTTTTTTATTTTAAATATTAATTTTTATTTTAAATATTTTAATTTTTTTAATATTTTAAATTCAAAACTATAACTCCATACTCAAATCATAACTAAATACATAACTCAAAACTCAATTCAAATTATTTTTAAAATCATAACCACACACTAACTCAAACCTTAATTCAAAAATTATCTTTACAAAATCATTAACAAACTCTTTCAAAATTCTATTGAAACAAATTAAAAAATATGTTTTTTATTTCTTCTTTGAATTATTTTTTATTTTATATTTTTTTGAAAAAATATTTTTCAATATATATATATTTTATTTTTATTTTTTTCAAAAAATGACTCTTGTTATTTTTTTAAGTATTGGCCAAATAATTTGTTATGATTTAGATATATATGGCGATCCAAATTTTTTTAAATTTAAAAATAAATTAAATATATAACAAAATTAAATTTTTTTAAGTATTAAAAAATTTAAAATATGAAAAAAAAATATTTATAAATTAAAACTAAAAAAATTATATTTAAATTAAAAAAATAAAAAAAAATAAATTTTTAAAAAATATATTTCAAATATTTTTAAAAAAATACAGAGTACAAATGTATGAAATACAGTGCACATTAAAATAAATAAATAATATTTAACAATATAAAATATTTACCCTAAAAAAATAAAATTAGAAAATTTTTAAATATTTAAAAAAATGAATCCAAAAAATTTCAAAATACAATTCCAAAACACTTTTAAAACTTTAGCCAATATTTTTTATTTATTTATTTATTTTTTTTTTTAATCTCAACTCAAACAACACATTGTCACAACTCAAACCTGCCTCTATAGGTTTAGCGTCGTAATCGACCAGTAATCCTTGGATTACAAAAGACCTGATCAGATTAGCACGTACCAGGGGGCAGCGGAAGCAAATATAAATACATACATAGTCTATACAACTGTTTTGACATATATGGGACAGAAATTTCAAACTTTTATATCATAGGTGTGACGTCATAATCTACAGTAATTCATGTCACATATATTGCAGATAGAACAAAAAGATAGCCCACCATACAGATAGACAAACTAAAACAAATCTTTAGTGAGGTTGACAAAGCATGACACTCTCAAAAGGGAACCTCTTAGGAGGCAACAGTGGCTGGTTGACTCAAAATTTCAAGTAGCAGCTTAGGCCTGGTCACGCGTCTGCTCACCTACATACATAATATAAATAGTGAAGCGAAAGCCCAGTGAATAATAACAGGGTAAAGGACTTAATGTATGTTGTCCATAACAGTTACAGAAAACGAAACTCATAATTACGTTCAGAAACCAAATGTCGAAAGCAGAAACAGATTCATATACAAAATCATATTCATTTTCAAAGTTCATACATTTCACATTATAGTACGTGGCACATCCATTAGCGTTAAAAATCTGATGACCCATAAAGAGACAGCCGTGAAGGCATTCTGATCACCTATAAAGGACACCCATAAGGCATTCCGATGACTCATGTGCACAGAAAACATTTCGATAAGGATGCTAAAATGCACTTGAAAACATTTAGGCAACTATGCTGAAAATAGGGGTTCGCTGAACGTAACTTCTTTTGCTCGAGTAGACATACAAACATGTGAGTGGATGCTCGAGCGCAAATTTCTTCGCTAAAGTAGTTTGTAAACTTGCAAAAGTATTGGTTGCTTGATTTTTCCGCTCGACGCTCGCTCGGTGTGAGACAAAAGTCCTCGCTCAAGCGCAACTTTTGTCACTCGAGCGGTCTGCAAAACATGTGAACTTCTAAGAACATGCATTTTAGCTGGAGCCAACTTTTGGTTGCTCGAGCGAAAGTGTGAAAATAAAGGTGGTCGCTCGCGAGCGAAGAGCAGAATTCTAAGAATTTCCAGATTGCACTCCCAAGCTCAAAATCGAATTCAAACTCTCAAACACAACCTTGGGCCCCAAAACTTGAGAAACATGTCTAAACTTGTAAAACATCAAGTATTAAGGATTATTGGATAAAATCAAGGCCTAAGCGTAAGTCATTTGTTCAAAATTTACCTTCAACTTTCAACCCACAACATGTAGGAATTGACATGACCTTCAACTTTTCAAATCATGGTCTAGCAAAGTGAAATGGTATGAAACATCATGAATTTCAGAACTAAAGGGAAATAACAACATGCATGAGGAAAAGTTTGGAAACAACTTCAAAATCATTGAAATGTACATGCATGCATGATTAACTAATTCCCTTTAATTCTAGTTCAATTCTTGTAATTTATCTCCCAATTCACATGAATGCTACTAATAGTTATTCAATTACATAATTAGAGGTGAGTTCTTACCTTTGGCTTCTCAATTGAGTGCTAAATAGCTAGTTGTTTGAGTTTCTAAGCCAAACTTTCAAGTTCTTCTAATTTCCACAATCCTCTTGTTGAATTCAAGTCTTCCTTCTTCTCTCTCTCTCTCCTCCTCTTTTCTCTCTCACGTTTGAGCTTCAAAAAGATCGAGGAATGAGAGTGTAAAGTGGTGGGGACATATTTTCTGAGTACCAATACTGGCCAAGGTGACGTGAAGTGTCAGCTGACGGTGCCACGTGTCCTGCTCATTTGATGGCGAGGTGATCTCGGCTAGGCCGAGGTTATCTCCTGAAGATATCGGAGTCCGGGATATAATGGATAAACGGATAAAGGACAAGAGTTCCTGGATTGAATGGGACTAACATTTGGGTAAGAATAAGACTCTTAGAAAGTTTTATCCAATCCTATAGAAGTCCAAGATTAGACAATAATCCTAAGTCAATGGGAGCGAGCTTCTTTGGGACTAGGATTTGTTGGCTATAAAAGGAGAGCACCCCATGGGTCTAAGGTACGCAATTTATATTCTGTGAATATGAGTTAAGCACTTTTGCTATCTTTGAAAGATAACTGCTTGATCGTCGAAGGGCCCCCAGGTGGACGAACATCTGCCGGAATCTCTTCTCTATTGCGCAGGTCATTCAGGCTTAATCTATTCTGCCAGTGTTCTCCAGCTAAGTAATAATTTGGCAGTGTGGTTGAAATTGACAACACACACATTGGCGCGTCTGTGGGAAAGAAACGGAAATAGATGGCCACGACAGACAGAAAAGAGAAACAGGGGGACGAC